TTAATTCAGTTTCAAGGGTTATAAAATTTTCCAAGGCCTTGTTAAAGAGCAATATACTCCTACTTCACTTTCAACCTCCATTCTTCTTTCTTACACCATCAAAACACCATCAAACCTTGAATTGAAGCTCTTGGCTGAGAATTCTAGGACACACTCAAGAACTTTGAGGGTGCTAGGGTAGAGTTTGACAGCAAGGCAGCTCATCCTCTCTTCGAGAGGTGAAATTTTGCACTTTTTCTCACTTTCTCTCCTTTTTTTTCATTATCAAGCCTTGTCCTTCATTATTATTGTGTTGTAATCACATGATGGGTCCTCATGGATGTGAGGGAATTAAGATATAGACACCCATCCATTGAGTTGATCGAATTCTTTACTTTCTTACAATTTTGCACATTTTTCTTACTTTCATAGAGCTATACTTCATTATTGCTGTATGTAGATGTGTGAATTGGAACCTTGTAGACGTGGAGGGAGTTATAAATTAGCCTCCCATCCACAAGTTTGATTATGTAATGTAGTTTTTTTTTTTTCATACATTTTCTCATCATCCAAAGATGTTGGTTCATATGTTTCAATTTATACTCAATTCTAATAAGTGGTGGTGATTGTTGCATAGAGCTAATTAGATGATTCTTGAGGTTTGGTGTTGAGAATGTGGTTAGTTTTCATCTTGCTTGTATTTTCTTGGAAGGCAAGTAAGAGCTTCTTGCTCAAAAGTGTTGAAGACTCTATCGGTTAGTTTTCAATCAAAGTAAGACTTTTCTTACTTTCATAGAGCTATACTTCATTATTGCTGTATGTAGATGTGTGAATTGGAACCTTGTAGACGTGGAGGGAGTTATAAATTAGCCTCCCATCCACAAGTTTGATTATGTAATGTAGTTTTTTTTTTTTCATACATTTTCTCATCATCCAAAGATGTTGGTTCATATGTTTCAATTTATACTCAATTCTAATAAGTGGTGGTGATTGTTGCATAGAGCTAATTAGATGATTCTTGAGGTTTGGTGTTGAGAATGTGGTTAGTTTTCATCTTGCTTGTATTTTCTTGGAAGCCAAGTAAGAGCTTCTTGCTCAAAAGTGTTGAAGACTCTATCGGTTAGTTTTCATCTTGGTTAGTTTTCAATCAAAGTATGACTTCCACTAAGAAATGGTGGCAATTTGCTCTAATTGGTTTGGGTATTAATTTACCCTTATTCACAAAGAGATGAATGTAGGTATCCATTTATTTCTAGGGCTTAATTTCTTCCGACCTCAATTTCTATACTTATCCATCTTTTCATTTGATAAATTGTTGTAAATGTCATGTTGTACATAACTTCTTGTGTTGTTGAATGATTGGTGAAGCCTCTCTACCTCTTCTTTGAAGCATCCTTGTGATAGGAAAGGGTAGCAAGAATGAACATCTTTTGGAAAAAGTGTTGCTTGTTCTGTTTTGGTTCTGCTACACAAAAATAGAGTTATTCTGAATTTTATATACAACCGGCTAGATAAAGCATATGGCCATTAGCTTTTTCATCTAACTAGATCATTTATTTGGTTGGCCAGATGATTTTTCTAGGCAGAACAGAGCATAATCGGGTAATTTTTGGTGGCTGATCTCCTGGGCATTTGCGGTTGTTATTTAAACTCTGCTTTGTATTTTCTCATGATTTGTTAGATTTAGCTTCTATTTAGTTGAATCGATTTATTGTTGTAATAACTTCCAACTCTACATTTTTCTATTCAATTCATTATTGTAATACTTTCCAACCCTACATCTTTCTGTTAATTCATTATTGTAATAACTTTCAGTCTCCATTTCTTTCTATTCCTTTAATTTACATGCTTTCCATACCTATCTATAGCATCATGTTTTATTTAGGGTAAATTATACAAATAGTCTCTGTAGTTTACACGATGTGTTAATTTAGTCCCTGTTGTTTCAATTTGCTCAATTTTGCCCCTTAATTTAACGGATTGTGTCATTTTAGTCCAATAAATAACAGTTGTTAAGTTTGGTGGACAAAAAGTCAAACTATGTGTCAATTTGGTTCCTATCAAAATTGAGCAAATTAAAACAATAGGAACCAAATTGACTCATTATGTAAACTACAGAGACCAAATTAACACATTGTATAGACTTTTCGTCCACCCAACTTAACAATCGTTATTTATTGGAATAAAATGACACAATCTGTTAAATTAAGAGAAAAAATAGAGCAAATTAAAACAATAGGGACCAAATTGACACATCGTGTAAACTACAAGGACCATTTGCATAATTTACTCTTTTATTTATCATATCCATGCTTCACATCCATCTTTTATGCATTTGGATTCGCTCATCTACATCTGTGGGATTTATCATTTGAAAATTGATTTTGTGCATTACTTCATGCCTTGAGATGATTGACATGACATGAGTCAGTAACCAAATCTTTAGTTGCATTATTGTGTATGTGTTGCATTAGCTATTTGCATATAGGATCATGCATATATTTCTAGCGTATTCTTTCGACTTACTATGGATGAGTACTAAATGAGCGTTTCCAGTTTTAGCATTCCAGTTGTGTATGTTATTCTTACTATGCCTGGCATTATACCATGTAACTACTTGCTTATCTAGAATATCTCCATGACTGCCAGTGAATGAAGGTTGTGTTGCATAAAGTTGGAATGCTGTTGATTGCTATGCATGTGAGCTCAGTTTTTTTTAGTTGTACATTTATCTAAAAGGCCTTTTAAAATGCATAAAGTCAAAACATATCAAAATAAGTAACATAATCTATGCTTGTTAGCTTCACATAATAATGTTAGCATTATTAAATAATAGGAACATGAGCATATACTATCTATAAAACTCATATTATGGTTTAGTGGAGGTTGATCTTTCGATAAGGTGAATGGGGGTGTTCAATTCATGACCTTCCCCTTTTATACCGAAGTTCCTGAGCCAAGACAATTTGGTTATGATGGACAGTAGCCTTTGGCATGAGTCACATGTTTCCTAGTTTTCCTAAAAGATTAAGTGGTGACTCTAAGGTCTGGTGATGTAGTCCATTTCTAGTAAATGTTTTGCAATAAAATGAATTTTTTATAAAATTTACTAGATCTGGACTCTCATTTTCTATTTCACATTGTAGTAATGAGACTAAATCAAAGATAAGGAGTCCAACCTATTGAGCATGCTTGGGTCCATGTCTTGAGATGGTTCATAAGTCTTTAGTTGTATCTTTTTTTTTTTCTTTTTTTTTTTTTTTTGCATCTAGGATCATGCATATTTTTCTAACCCTTTTTGCTTGGTTTGGTGTGGAGGAGTACTGGGTGAACTTCTTTCATCTTTCCGTGTCGACTGTGTGTATTTTTCTTATTATGTCTAGCATTCTTACTATGCGGCTATTTGCTTATTTGATATATCTCTTTGGATGCTAGCGAATGGAGGGTATTTCGCTTAAGTTGTGATGATATTGATTTTTATGCACGTGGACTCATCGTTTCTTTGCGTCGCACTTTTTTTTTTTTCAAACTCTTTCTCAAAACGCATGAAATCAAAGCATTCAAAAGTAAGTGATTTAATCTATACTTATTTGCTTCACATCGTAATTTTAGCATTAATAATCAAAACATGAACATATATTGGTAATGAATCTAGAAGCCGATTTTTGATAAAGTGAGCGGGGATGCTCAATTTGTGACCTTCTATCGTCATACCTAAGTTCTCGAGCCGAGACATTTTGGTTACGGCAAACAATGGCCTTTGGCACGAGTCATAGATTTCCTAATTTTTCTAAAAAATTAGGTGGTGACTCTGAGTCTGGTGATGTAGTTCATTTTTTATATTTCTTGCGATTAGTGAATTTTCTATAGATTTGTCAAATTTAAACTCTCATTTTATTTCACATTGTATTAGTGGAACTAGACCAAAGATTCTAACTGTTGGGCCCGCCTAAACCCCTGTCCGGGAGTTCCCATAGAGACTTCCAACTTTGATATTGTGCTTTGCTGGATTGGAAGCCAAAAATGTTTTAAAATCTGATATTGGGCCTAACAAAAGCACAAAATTGACCCAAATTTGAAGGGTTCCATGCGGGCCAACTCCCAAAGATCATTACACCTAAAGAATCAAACCCATGGGAAGCTGGGAGGGCAACGTTTGGTTGTGGTTCATCAATGGGAGCATGCGTGTTGCATTGAGAAGATTCATCTCTAGGTGAATCATTAAGAGAGTTTTGGCGGGATTCTTCTTGGGAACAATCTTTAGATCATGCTACAACAAAGGAGTGCTCCACTTGGCTAAGAAGGGCTACATCATCCTCTTCATCTTTACCATTGCTGCTCTCGATGCAGGGCCGACCTTGGGCATAGGCCCACTAGGCCATGGCATAAGACCCCGCAAAATAAACTCAAAAAATGAGTCTCTCCTATTATAGTTTAGTGTAATATATTATGTATGTTTAAGTTTTAAAAAAATTTAAAAAAGACCAAATTAATTTAAAATAAATTGACCTATTAAAAAATTGAAAGGCTCATTCAAAATCAAAAGGGCCAAAAAAAAAAAAAGTCCGCTCCTATTATAGTTTAGTGTAATATATTAAGTATGTTTTAAGTCTAAAAAAAATTAAACGCCCAAATTAATTTAAAATAAATTAACCCATTCAAAATTGACACAAATCTTTTATCATTTACCTTAAAAAAAAAATCTTCATTCAATGAAAAAAAAATATATGAAAAACCTTAAAAAAAATTTAGTTGATTATTCATTTGAACCTCAAAAATTTCAGAACCGAGCGTGTCTGAATGTTAGTGGCGAATATCAAAAGTTGATAAAGTGTTTCAGGTTACTTGAAGCGAAAGAAATCACCTATGAATTTAGATCCAAATGCTTAAATTACAGTCTTCTCTTGCAAGATTTGGTGTGGTGTGAGCCCCACATAAAATGAATCTAATCCCGTCATTGCATTTTTTGGATACTTTCTTCAACTAACATTTTTGACAAAATTCTTGTAGTTTTAATAGTATAATTAATTATAATATCTAACAGTTTACATTAATTAATGAAAGAGAACATTACATGAACTTTTATATGAACATTTTAATTTTTAAATCTCTCTCTCTCTCTCTCACATTTTCAAAAATTGTGTACAACATATCATAATTTTTTCCATTACACTAGATAATCCTCAACTCTAACTTTTTCCAATTCTGAAAGAAGAATCAATGGCTTTGCTAGAGAAGAGTCGAGCAATCTCCAACTGGGTTTTAGCAATGATCTCAGTTCTTTTAAGATCGATTTCTCCTCTCTTGGCCTCAGCTTCGACCCTGATCCTCTCTAACTCTTTCATTGTGTCCATCTTTGCTTGTTCTGACCTTAATACTACTTCTGCTAACCACCTTATGCTCTCGCCTACCTCCCTATCTTCCCCTTCCTTTCTCCTCTTCCTCCGCTTCCTTTTTTTCATTCTCATCTTCAAGTTTTTTGACTTCAACTTCAACTCCAATAACCTCTCTTTGTCGCTGTACAGAGCAGGTGTGCTACTATCTGTATCAATAGCAAGATTTTTGTCCAACATATCATCGGACAATTTGGTTCTCACTCCATCTTCCTGCAATTAAAATCATTAAGGGGCCGTTCACACATAAGTTAGGCCAAGTTTGGCATGTGCCCAAAAAGTCAAAAAGTCAAAAAATTATTCAAAAAGTTAAAAAGTTATCACTATTCATCAAAAGTCAAAAAGTACGACTGCACAACTCCCAATCCTAATTTTTCCCTTTTTCCTACACATTAATTTTTATAATTTTTTAATACACATTTTTCCATAAAAAGTCAAAAAGTTAACCCAAACAACCATAATTTTTTTCCTTAACTTTTTAGTCCAAAAAGTCAAAAAATACACTTATTTAGGACATCCCAAACAACTCCCATTAGAGCAATGTTATTTATCGGTATCACTCACTAGAGTTTCTATAGCCACTTCATATCATCTCTTGCAAGTTGCATGCATGGCCAAGTAGTACTATTCTTGATTCTTTTCTTTAACAATATTTTCTATATAATTTTAGGATGCAGCTTTCCTCCCATTTATGTTTTAATTGATTCTGTAGAGTTCTGTTTTTTGAGCCTCCAATCGAAGCAATCTGAGTAGTTCATGTTTTACTTCCTTGTGTGTAAATCATTAATGAAAAAAAATCAAATTGATTTGTTAGTTGTAGCCATTAATTTTTAACATATTTGTATTTGAAAAAATGAATTGTATATTTTGAAATTCATACTTAACATAAATATTTTTAAAAACAAAATTTTAAAATCATGTTATATTTATCCAATAAGTCTATTTTTTTTCATAAATAATTACACACAAAGATTGAACATAAAGAACTCATATTATCTTAACAAGTCCTGTTATAAATCCAAAAAATAAAATTAAACAAATAAAACACAGACATGAAACAAGCTGCCTCCGATTTTAAACTTCTAAGTGACATTAAATGCCCCTTTAAAAAAAAAAAAAGTGACATTAAATTGCGACAAAATGTCAATGGGAGATAGTTGTAGTTTTTGCATTTACTGGCAAGTAACTCTATTTTATTCAGCATTGCAGCTACTCAAGAGTATATAACTAGGAGCAACATGAAGAAACCAATACCTCAATATGTTCCTAAAACAAAATGCTTATATATAGCCAATTTTTTTATTTATAATTTTCTATTTATTTTTTATTTTGACATAGGCTTCTTTTCAGTCAACTAATTAGGCTAGAGGGTTTAATTTAGTTCTTTGCAGGTCCATTTTTAATTTATCTAGGGTCAGCCAAGTACGAACGAGGCCATTAAGGGCATTGCTTTTGACCCCAAATTATTATTTATTTTTTAATAAATTTCATTCGTTTTTCACAAAGGCACAAAGGTCTTTGTGACAAGTTTACGTGTAATTGCATCTTAAGGTGCAGTGACCAAAGGTTAGGGATTTAAGTTGATGAAGTAACGACGACCCTTTTAGTGTTATACTAATTTTACTAACAAACTAACAAATTTAAAAACCTAATAAATAAATACTATACAAAGGCCATAAAAAAAAAACTCCAATAATTAATTAAAGTAATTGAAAGGCCTCCTATCTACTTTCTTTTAAGCATGAGCATTAATGAATCCGGATCCTCGGCCGCCCTACCTGGCAGCCCTACCCGGCAGCCCCCCAAAACGACGTCGTTTTGGGGTTTTTTTTTTTAAAGCATGAGCATTAATTGCTTTATTTAAAAAAAAAAATAGGAAAAAGTGTTTGAAAAAATTATTACAAACTGTTGAAAAAATTTAAGATTTTAATTATTAATAGTTATAAAATTTACTATTAATCTGTATTTTTTTTTAAAAAAAAAATCCATTGATATGTATTTTCCCCAAAAAATAACTGATTACTCTTCTATTTTATTTTATTTTATTTATAATGAGTGCGATAATTTGTAATAACGGCTGTGATACAGAGCACTAGGTGTAGAGCTCTAAATTGAGCTCTACACAGCTGGCACGGAATAAAACCAAAAAAAAAAAAAAAGAAAAAAAAAAGGAAAAGGAAAAGGAAAAGGACAAATCACAATGGAGAAAAAGGCAAATTAGAGCTCTTCTAAATCTCTTAATTTAGAGGTCTAAAACATTTTTCTTTGTAATAATGATAACCACGCAGCATTGTTGCACAACTCTATCAATCATTCAAAATCCTTTCATATAAAAAATAATAAATATATAATAAAGGTTAAGGTAAAAAATTTATAAATGGGGATTCATCTAAAAGGATATTACGTTTAAATCATAATCATTTCACATTTTTTTTCACAAAAATCAGAAAAATTTAAAAAACCCATTTCAAACGAGATTTTTTAGCCCAGACTAAAAGTCAAAAACTCAAAAGATCAACTCACTTCCCAAATGAAAACTAAGTGGACTACTCATTTTATCAATTGAAAAAAAAAATAAAAAATAGAGAACCTTGATTACAAAAGTTTTGAACCACAAAAAATAAGAAAATTTAATTTTAAATGTAACTAAGATACAAAAATATATAATTAACATTTAAATAATAAAAGGCTACACTAAATTTGTTTGCTTAAGATCCCAACAAGGTTGGGCCGCATGTAAGTCTATCTCAGTGATTCAAATTATTCAAAATTTTGGATATGTCAAAAAAATTATTCATGTAAAAAATCAGATTGATCACACATTAATAGTCACATATTTGAATGATTTTTAAAAAATAGATTGCAAGTATGATATTGAAAATAGCCCGATCATTTCTTTTAAGATAAATGTAATAAAAAATGTGAGTACCAATATTCATTCAACTTAATTTTTGGCATGGGCCCTGTGAGTGAATCAAAAAGAAGAAGGAAAGAGGAGAAGATAGACGAAAAAGAGGAGAAGACCAAGAAACCTAGATCCTATGAGAGAGGGTCATCTCTGGCTAGAAAACCCAAATCGCGACCATTACTGCCCACCACCCACCGCCGCCTCATATTCTCTCTTTCTCTCTTTCTTCTTCTTCTTCCTCTTCTAAAACCCTAACCCTAGATCTAGATCTACCATCGCCGCAAACCCATATCGCGACCCGTGCCGCTACCATCACCACCTACCACCCATCGCTACTGCCATCATCGGCCACTATAACTCTCTAAAAATCCTAGATCTAGGGTTAGGGTTTCAGGACAGGAAGAAGAAGAAGAAGAAGAAGAGGAGAGAAGAGGACGACGAGCGGCGGACAACGAGAGAAAGAAACAAGAAAGAGGAAGAAGAGAAAGAAAGGTGAAGAGGGGCGAGATTTCGTCTGTCTTCTCTTTTCTCTTTTTCTTCTTCATATTTTTTTTTTCTTATAGTCAAAACAACGTCATTTAGATCAAAACAATGTGTTTTGATTCACTTCACAAAACACTCTAGAGGGATTCACTTTAGGGGATTCAGACACTAGGCCATCTACTCCAGAAGTACTAAAATTTGAATTTGGGCTCGCAAAACACTAAACAACTTTTCCTTTTCTTGGAAGGCATTATTTCAGCTTTTGGAGCTCATCACGAGTCCTATTTTGATAATATGAACCGTTTATTTTATCAAAGACTTTTTATGTTTTATTTACAAAAAAATTAGATCGATTCGATAATTATGACTTATGAAATTAATCATGTTTGTGATAAAAAATAAAAAAATGGACGACAATTGAGTTTTAAAAAAAAATCTATTTTTTGGTAACAATCTTGATAAATTAAATAAATTACGATTATCGGATAGACTTCAATTTTTGTGTAACTAAAATAGGGAAAAGTAAGTGGATTAGTCATTTATCAATTGAAAAAAAAAAGAAAAAAATAATAGAGAACCTTGATTACAAAAGTTTTGCACCACAAAAAATAAGAAAATTCAATTTTAAATGTAACTAAAATATAAAAAATAAAAAAAGTAAAAAAATTAACATTTAAATAATAAAAGGTTTCACTAAATTTTTTTGCTTAGGACCCAACAAGGTAGGGCCGCATGTAGGCCTATCTTGGTGATTCAAATTATTTAAATTTTTTGGTATGTCAAATAGATTATTCATGTAAAAAGATCATATTGATTATATATCGATAATCACATATTTGAATGATATTTATTTTTAACAAAATAGATTGCAAGTATGATATTGAAAATAGACCGGTCATTTTTTAAGATAAATATAATTAAAAAAAATGTGAGTACTAATATTCATTAAACTTAATTTTTAGCATAGGCCCTTTGAGTGAATCAAAACGACGTCGTTTTGAATAATATTTAAAAAGAAGAAAAAAAAAAAGAAGGAAAGAGGAGAAGATAGACGAAAAAGAGGAGAAGACCAAGAAATCCAGATCCGATGAGAGAGGGTAATCTCCGACCAGAAACCCAAATCGCGACCATCACTGCCGCCACCCACCACCGCCTCATATTCTCTCCTACTCTTATTCTTCTTCTTCTTCTTCTCAAAACCCTAACCCTAGATCTAGATCCACCATTGCCGCAAACCCAAATCGCGACCCATCGTTGCTGCCATCATCGCCTACCACCCATCGCTGTTGCCATCATCACCCATCATAGCTCTCTAAAAATCCTTGATCTAGGGTTAGCGTTTCGAGACAGAAATTGATTATATATCGATAATCACATATTTGAATGATATTTATTTTTAACAAAATAGATTGCAAGTATGATATTGAAAATAGACCGGTCATTTTTTAAGATAAATATAATTAAAAAAAATGTGAGTACTAATATTCATTAAACTTAATTTTTAGCATAGGCCCTTTGAGTGAATCAAAACGACGTCGTTTTGAATAATATTTAAAAAGAAGAAAAAAAAAAAGAAGGAAAGAGGAGAAGATAGACGAAAAAGAGGAGAAGACCAAGAAATCCAGATCCGATGAGAGAGGGTAATCTCCGACCAGAAACCCAAATCGCGACCATCACTGCCCGCCACCCACCACCGCCTCATATTCTCTCATACTCTTCTTCTTCTTCTTCTTCCAAAACCCTAACCCTAGATCTAGATCCACCATTGCCGCAAACCCAAATCGCGACCCATCGTTGCTGCCATCATCGCCTACCACCCATTGTTGCTGCCATCATCACCCATCATAGCTCTCTAAAAATCCTTGTTCTAGGGTTAGCGTTTCGAGACAGAAAGAAGAAAAAGAAAAAGAAGAAGAAGATGAGGAGAAAAGAGAGAGGCGGACGACGAGAGTAGGAAAGAAGAAAGAGGAAGAAGAAAAAGAGAGGTGGAGAGGGATGAGATTTCGTCTGTCTTCTCCTCTCTTTTTTTTTTTCTTTTGCATTAGTCAAAACAATGTCATTTAGATTGAAACGATGCATTTTGATTCACTCCACAAAGCACTCTAAAGGGATTCACTCTAGGGGATTCAGACGTTGGGCCATCTACTCCGGATGCACTAAAATTTGAATTGGGCTCGCAAAGCACTAAACAACTTTTACGATTACCAGATAGACTTCAATTTTTGTGCCAATAATATATACAAAGTATCTAACAAAGTATCTAACAAAACGAATAATTTAAATTATTAAAACGAGACTTGTATTGACCCAAACAAGATTGTCTAAAGTGGATTGAAAAGTAACTGTCTCCTAATCAATTTTGTGCATTTAATAATGTGGATTTAGGGACTTTGTATCATGTGTGGTAAAAAAATTGAATAAAAATCTGTATAACATTATTGGTTCTTTAATTAGTTTGAAAAATCATGCTCGACAGAAGATGATATGATTGACACAGTTTCAGAGCCTAACAGGTGGGTTGTTAAATTAAAAGAGATGAATATTAGAAGAAAAATCATATATATATAAAATTTTGGACAGACCTTCGCTCCCTGATCAACGCCATTGGAACCATGCGAGTTATGTGCAACAATTCCGAGAGGAAGAGGCGGACGAGGAGGCGGACGAGGAGGAGGAGGTGGAGGTGGTGGTGGTGGTGGCAGCTGCGGCACAGGTGGTTGTTGTGGTGGAAGTGATGATTCCAATAGCACTAAAGGGTTGGTTGTTGGTGGTGCCGGCGGTGAAGGAGGAGGAGGCGGAGGAAGAGTTATAGTTCCTCCACTTCCTCCACTTCCAATTCCACCACGTAGTAAAAGATCAATTCGGGGGCAGAGCGGCCAGGAGGAGGTGGCAGTGGCAGAAGAAGCAGACTCAGAGCGGTATCGCTTCTTCATGGACTCGATCTTGTTCTTGCACTGCGTTTGTGTCTTTGGAGACTTTGTGGAATTGGCACGCGACGATACACATCTTGCAACATCCTCCCAGTCTTGACCTTTTAGCTTCGCTCTGTTCCGAAGTATCCATCTCTCCTCATACGCTTCAAGCAGACTTGAAACTGCCCCTTCGCTCCATTCATCTCTTTTTAACCTATCTCCTCCTCCGGAGCCACCACAAACCGGTGGCGGCTTTCTAGGAGACTCTTCTTTTGGGACGATGATGATGTTACTACTACTGTTAGAGACTACCGATGGGTGGTTTGCTTCTTTCTCCATCATCATGTTACTAACTATTCCTTACCCATGTTTACCTGCTAACATGTAATCACACCTCAACCACCTAAAACTCAGAGACTATCATATCTAAGCCTTTAGAGTTTACTTTATTAAGTATCTCCATTAAATTTAATTGAGAGTGGTACTACCCTTTTTAATTTTTCCTTTTAATTCTATTTTTAATGACATGGTCCAACCAGCAAATGTATACTTTTAGGTTCAAATTCTCTAATCAGCAAACGCGTATATTGGGGTCACAGACTGCAGGGCATAAACCCTGTTTCGGACGGTAAGGACTTAGTTTGGTACGCGTAAACTAGTTTAGGATACCCTACATAAAAAATAAATAAATAAATAAATAACAAAAAAAGAAAAAAAATAATGTGGCCGAAACCTATGTGAAATAGTTTCATACTACTCTCTATATCATCATTGACTTTTCTAATTCCACATCATTAGAGTAGATTTAGGAGAACGAAATTAGGAAGATAAATTATTATCCTATTTAGGCCTCGTTTGAGAAGTAATAGTTTTAGTCTAAAAGTTAAAAAGTTATTAAAAAAGTTAAAAAGTTTATAAAAAAAGTCAAAAATTCTTTTTTCTCTCTATTTTTTGCACATTTTTTCGTAAAAAATTTAAAAGTCATTCCAAACATATAAGTTTTTTTGGTCATATTTTAGTTAAAAAATTAAAAAATTACTAAAATAGACTGTTTCCAAACGAGAGCTTAGTGCTATTCATATTAGATTTTAAATTTAGTTTACTACATTATTTTTAGACAATTTGGTGAACTATATTTTTAGGCTCCCTACATTTTTTTTTATAATGTTTTTTTTCCTTGAAAAAGTAAATAATACTTCTTTATAGACAAATAAATAAATAAAAATAAAAATCCCAAGGATTGGCGTAGTGGTGTAAGCTTGAGACTTAGGAGTTTGTTCCTCTTTAAGTCTCAAGTTCAAAACCTCTTAGATATTTCAGTGATTTCAAAAATAGATAGGAAAAAATATGTAAAAATATAAAAACAAAAAAGATAGACACAAATCGAGGGACTGAAATCATCTAAAGGATAGGAGGAGGTTAGTAAGTACTTGGGGTCTATGTAGAGTAGTAAATATTATATGTGACGGTGATATTAAGTGATGAGATGTTAATATTGTCGTTTTTTTAAGGTTGTATATTATATGCTATTCAAAATAATATTATCAATTATTTCTTGTAAATTATAATATGACATAGCTTTTTTTCATTATAAAAAGAGTATAAGTTCAAAAATTCGGTTCAATTTTTAAATTTAATCATGTGATAACTAATTAAAATAGATAAGATAATTCTCTTTCTTATTTTTTTAATTATCTTATTTAGTTTAAAAAATACATTTAAACTTTGAGGTAAATTTCTAGAATTTATAATCTTGATGGAGGAGAAAAGCGGGGGTTAAGTGGCCAACTGGAGAGAAGAGAGAGAAGAACCACTAGCATTAGAGAGAGAGAGATAGAGAAAGTGATAGTAGTGGGGCAACCACAGAATATGTCGGTAGTGGTGTGAGTTAGTGATGACAAGTAATCCAAACTTTTGTATCACTTATTGGTGGAGTTAGCCTTTTGTATCACTTTTTGGTGGAGTTAGCTATTGAGGGTATATTGATTTTTAACTTTTTAAGATTTTGTCTGTTGTATTGGAGCATTTTTGGCTGTTGGCGTTGATATGAAGCCAACCAAGACATCCACCGACGGTGGTGATCACTCACGTGGCTTTGTCAGCCACTCCCAATATCACCCATTCACGTTCACAGTTTCATCACTGAAAAATGTTTGAAAATTTTAATTGAATATTTTTAATTCATTTTTGATGATGTAATCTATCATTCTTTATTCCCTCTTTTCAGATCAAAATAAAAATAAGGTATTATAAAATACACTAATCCTTCAGGCGTCAGGAGTTTCAAGTGTGAATGGTGTGAATTTGTGGTCACCGGTCGACCGATGGAACGATCGGGTGAAATATTTATCTACTGTGATTGTTACATTGTTAACCACGACGGTCAGTCTCTTTGCCGGACGACCGACCGAATGACTGGCCGGACAACTAGTTAAACAAATTCAAGACATATTCACATCTCCATATTCAAAACCTATAGCACGACTTTACAAAATATACCACCAACCTTCATCATTAAACCAAGCACAAAAAACACTAATAGCACCAACCCTAACACTAACAGTAACAGTATAATTCAACAGGCACCACCACTACCACCACTTGTCAATGCGCTGCCGTCATCCCGCACTCATTATTAGTTGCTCTTTTTACCCCTCTTTTAACTTTGCTGCCTTTTTTTTAACCCTTTTTATGCCTTTTCAAATGCATGGTGGACTCATCACCATCAGTCTTTTACAAGTATTAACAAATCTATAATTTCCTTTTTGTCAATTTAAATTTATGATAAATTATAAATATATTTTTTAAATTTTACTTAAAATATAAATTATCTCTTATGAGTTTATAAATTACATATTATTCTTTCAAATTTCTAATCACATAAATAATTTATTTCATTAATAAATAATTAAGTCAGTTAATATTTTTTAATGCTATCAAAAATATATTTCAATTAACAATTCATATACGCTTATTGTTATAAAAAATAACAGTTATGAATTTTATTTTTTTTGTTATTCTTTTAAATAAAAAATTATGACAAATGAATATTTGTAATTTCTAAAATTATAAGGAACAATTCATATTTTAAGAGAGTATAAATATGCCCTTAATGAAGGTTAATGCAAACAATCAATTACACTGCACCTCTTACACAAACTCTCTTGTTCCTTACTTTCAAGTTTACTAACTTAAGTATCGAAGAAGAGGCCTCTGACTACTCATCAGTCGAGTTTCTTTGTTCTCTTGAACATTTCAAGTCGAAGTCCACTTAGTTCATGTCGGAGTGCTGCCACAATAATGTTGGTCTAGTTTTTACCTACCACAACTATTATTATTATTTTCATTTTTGCTTAGTTTGAACTTGTGCGAATTCATTAAATAAAGTTGACTATAAAATTGGATTCATATGTAGCATATTTTGAGCATGCCTTGCATATTTTTTATATATTAGTTGTAGAGATTATGAAAGGCCAGGTACGGACAAGAGGCAACACCCTTAATTTGCATGCCCAATACTCACTACAAGAAATCAGCTTTTTAGGGACAAATTTATTTCGTTCCTAAAAGTGTAATATTTGTTGGAAAAAACTTTAGCCAACAAATTAAATAGTTGAATGCTTTCATTTACGTATTTCATTTCATTTCAGTTGGGAGTGAATTTATGTATTTAGTGAGGTGTGTCGAGCATTGTTTCAACATATATTTCTTTAATGACTAATTGAGAAATATTGACTAAACTAAACTTTTATTTGGAAATAAGATAATGACATTTTTCATAAATAATCAAACTAATTTGCAAATTAAATAAGTTAGTCCGATATTCCAAAACACTACTTTGGTCTAATAGATTTTTTAACCAAGGACTCATTTTGCCAAATCAACCCTCTTTTACACAAATAATGAATTGAGACTTTTCTAGCTATCTTACATTAAACACTTTTTGAGACAACCATACTTTTGTTGAAGTACATGGAAAAGTGTTTGGAAATGGAATTAGATGATTATTGATATTAAAAGGAGGATTTTTATTAAATAATCACACTTAGGTTAATTAGTTTTCGTCTACTTTATCTTTGAAAATTGGAGGGTAACATGCAACAATAGTGCCCTAAATACACTTCGAGTGTGTCTGCAAAATTTGTTTAGGGCGTTTAGTGGCTAAAATCAAGATCAACTATAATGGCAACCTCTGCCCCGTTTGTCACCACTGCCAAAAAACTCTCATCACACTACCATTATCAGCTTTTCCTATATCTTTGGATTTCCCTTCCCCTCCACAGAGTAGCATAAATGAGTTTCTTCGATGAATGAAGGAAAAAAAATGATAATAAAGAAGGGAAAAATTGTCCAATTTTTAGTCAAAAGCCTATTAATAGTGGGGGTGCCTTCAAATGCGACCCCAATAACATTGTTGTGCGCCCTGCTTCTTTGAACACCCAAACTAAAATTCTGAATTTTGCTTTTTCTTGTTGAACACCCCCAACTAATCCCCATTTTATCCCCCTTACCCACCTGTCACTGCAAACACCTTTGCCTCCAGCAATTCTCTCCCCTTCTTGTCACGATTCTTTACTACCCCGTTTACAACTCTGACGCCGCCCTCTGCAACATCGTTGTTCCCTTCCCTGCCATCCTCTTCCCAAACTTGCAACCCCCCACCCTTTCATTTTTTTCTTCTTCAACCCTCTCCCGTTGCGAAGCCCTAACACATCCCCATCTCCTATTGCTAAACCCTCAACCAAATCTCCTTTCCTGTCACGAACCCCCTTCCAATCATGAACCCTAAATTTGAAAACTCTAGCTCTAGGGTTTTCAAATTTAGGTTTTAGGGAAGGAGAAAAAGAAAAAGAAGGTGGCGATGGCGACAATGATGACGATGACAAGGAAGAAGAAGTAGAAGAAGAAAAAGAAATGACAACACAAACTAGAGAAGGAAGTGTTTGTGTGGCAAGGAAAAATGGGGCTAAGAACAACTAGCAAGAATTGGGAAGGGTTGGTCCAGGGCTGCCAAAGTTGGAAAGGAATGGTTGGAGATAGGGTTAAGATTTGTTATTTTGATAATTTTCTTGATGGAGTAGAATAGTATTAAAAAAATGAAAGTGAGGGTGCCCAACAAATTTTTTACATTTAGAGCTACCCATACTCGGACTTTAAGTCCAAAAAACATAATTTCAAGGATCTTAGGCAATAAAATCAGTTTGAGTTTCCTTTATCAATGAGCAAACTCTCGTAGATTTTGCCAAAAGAAAATGATATAGAAGTCTACCTTTTAGACTCAGGCCTTGTTTGAAAATATGTTATTTTAGTAATTTTTGATTTTTTGACTAAAATATAAGCTAAAAAAAATTAGTATTTTTGGAATAATTTTTTTAATTTTTTACGAAAAAATATACAAAAAGTAGAGAGAAAAGAGAATCTTTAACTTTTTTGTATAGGTTATAGACTTTTTGATTTTTTTAGTAATTTTTTGACTGTTACGCTAAAATAGA